GAGACACACAACGAAGAGAAAGACTTGTGAAAAGTGCAGTATTCAAATTGGTATGCAAGACATTCAGTATGTGTCCAGGTGTGGCTGTAAAAACAATAACGTCTACCTTGTCCGCCTAGCTCTGAACAAAAAGCATTCCTCGACAAAACCCGCTGATAAACTATAATTATTTCCCTTTATATCCCCATAATACACCAAGATAAAGTGATGTAAGGCAGCTTATAAAAACACCTGACTTCCCTGTAAACGGACTGGTGGTGAATGGGGGGGGGGGCGTACACGCTCAGGTGGTTCTTCAATGAACAATGCACTGCCTGCACTAACACTACAGAGTAAACATTACCCATTTCCTTAAATTCCTGCTGGAGTGTATTCTTTTGTGGGAGCATGAAATGGAGATACTAAGAGAGGGACCGAATGTTTTGGCCTCGAAGAGCTGAAGAGGGAGTGTTTCACTTTAAAAACGGGACCTTATCTTTGGGCGTGGGACTCTTGTGCTCCAAACGTTCTCCGCAAAAACCTCTTTCCAAGGAGTGGAGTGACAAATGTTTCAGCATTCATAGCACAAGCAGTGTGTTGCTAATGTTATTATACTTTGTTTACATGTCATGGTAACTTCTGAATTCATCAACAAAGATCTGCTGATATTTGTGAATACAAATTCTGTCATCCAGCTGAAAAACAGACTGACAAACCAACAAAGTCCTTGCCAAAGGGTACAAATGTAATGTTTCTCAAAATCTATGTGTGTTTTTTTATTTATTTTCACACTTTTCTTTTTGTTGATTTGGTATTTTATATTGCACATTACAAATAAAATACAATATTGCATATATTTTGTGTGACACTCTTCTTTACATGGATATTTTACCTCGAATAATGAAATCTGAAGGGATCAAGGCGACTAAATAAATATATGCTCATCAACTTGAATGAAAAATATAAAAGCACAATACTCGACTTTTACGGCTAAGAATAATAATAACATCTGCAGCTTTATCACTTCCATCCAAGATGAAAAGATTACAGGACAAGATTTGGGGGGGGGAAACACAACAAAGGACTCTGCAGTCGATGTCTGAGACAGCAGACTCACATCTCTGAATCGCTGTCTAGGAATGCAGAGCGCAGCCGTGCCGTTACCTATAGGCCTCAATAAAACGCCAGGTTTAGTGGAACAAAAGTGACGACAGCTTGTAAGAATCTTACACAAGGTGGAGGTTCATGGAGGGGAGAGGGGCAGCATGTGGACAATAGACAATAGGAACACCACAGGAGGGATCACACTGACTTTGTTTTCACTTTGCTTTAACATTTGCTTAACAAGTTCAGAGATGAAGGTTCATAATAATCAGTTTGCACAGACTACTTTAAACCAGATGTGCATTTCTGTAGTTGGCGTTAAACTGTGGAATTCTTTACAAATGATTTAAGGGGCTGTATAAACATCTTCAGGTTTAAGAAAATGTATAAAGAAAGAATAATTTGACAGTATGAAGTTGTTTGTGTTTTTGGTTTCATGTTACAATAAGTATTTGTAAGCAGCTTGGACTGACAGACCATTTCTTTTAGAATAAGGGTCAGGTAAAATAAGACTTTCTTCTGCCTGCACCTTTCCATCATGGGATATAAACAAACTGCTTAAAGTGTCCATGTCTTGTTTTATAATAATTGCCATGAGTGGAATAAAACTATAATAATAATAATAATTGTGTGGGGTTTAAATACAGCAGTGTGGACAAAGCTCCGAGGGAGAAGCTGCAGCTCATTTAGAGGACTGAAAATGTCTGGCTTCCTACACGTACGCAACAATATCTAATATCACGTTTTTAAAGAGTGTAACTGAAAACACGTCAGACAAAGATGCTGCAATAGGAAAGGATGCCAACAAATGTGGGGGAGCTCAGAAGAACAAAGGAAGGGATGGAGAGGATCAATGCTCAGTAACGCAGCTGTGTTAGGAGAAGCTGTATGTGTCAGCGTTTGGAAAAAATGAATTCCCAGGTGATGTAAGGTCAATGTGCTGCTGGATACCGGCTCAAAAACGTGAAGAAAGCTATTTCAGATGTGAGGAACCGCCAACACAGTCCGCAGCATTACATTGAATCTATTCTTAGGACTTTTTGGACCTGCCAGCAGTCCTCCAGACAGAGCCAGATTCCACTCGTAAAAAACAGAGGATTTTTGGATATACTGTCAGTATGCGACTTGTGCTGTGCTGCAATCTGCAACATTCACAAATCCAGGCACCCACCGATTCGTCATCTGTTTTAAAATGATATTAATTAGGCAAAGTGACTATTGAGCTATTGTCAATAACCTTTCCAACAGCAAAACAAATGTTTGATCTGAAGTGTCATCAGTTTTGCACAATCTTTACCATCTTATCTCACATTATAACAAGTGAATGTTACTGTTTATCCAAGGGGGAAAACCCCAATGAATGACACATCCTGCTGGCATGTGCAGAATGTGTCGGCAACGAGCCACAGGTTCACTGCCCCACACACAGATACCTCACTGTGGGGCAGTGACCTGTGAAACCAGAAAGCTACAATGTGGCAATCATTAAACCTCAGAGCGGAGGCAGAGAGAGTGGGCAAAGTCCTCCAGGATAGTAGGACCATTTCTCTGACCAACCTGCATCGCCCCCATGCAGAGGTTTACCAGCTGTGACAGTAGCAATGAACATCCTACATGGCTCACTTTGTGCACAGAGGCACACAAAAACAATGGTGAATTGTTAGAGAAAAAAACAGATCTAGGAGGCCCATGTTGAGGCTACAAGTCAGAAGCTTCTGGGATTATCCACAAGGCCATTTGTAAAGTAACCCAAACAGAGCAGCCAGCATGTTGACCAACAGAAAAACAACAGTTGTTTCTGTGTCAATGCAAACTCTTCCCACTCCTCTTTCAGTGAAAACAAAGCATTCATTTATCAGAGCAACAAAACTATGCTAATTTCAGAATGGAGTACTTTCAGGCATGTTTAAAATCATAATTGGGAACACTTACTGAAAGCAGGCGTTGTGCCAGGTGTCCAGGAGGACTTTCATTTGAAACGAGTCTTGGATTTCTCCTCCACATCCCGCACAGTTACAGCTCTTAGTACCTGTAAGAAATGGAAAGGTATTCAATGGAGTAGCATTGTATGCTTCAAATTCTGGTAGTAGGTATAACTGTATGTGGAACAGGCAGCGGTGTAAAGTAACTAAAGTACATTTACAATTTTGAGATACTTGTACTTTACTTGAGCAATGTTTTGCTACTTTGTACTTCTATCCAACTGCCATTCAATGATAAATACTAGTGATACTCCACTACATTAATTTAATACCTTTAGTTACCTTGCATATTTGGATTAATGTTGTGTAATATTTAATCAACACTTAAATAAGACTTTACTTACACCTGGAGCAAATTCACAAGCTACCCTGCAGCATACAAAGGAATTAAAATGAGCCACACCTTTACCAGCTTTAATAAGCACATTAATTAATCAATAATTATAATATTTTGTATGCTGTGTATGTAATTTATTATATGTAATTTATTATATGTAATGTCTTGTCTTTTATCTATGTAATGTCTTGTCTTTTATCTGGACCCTGAGTTTTGATTGATTGATTGATTGATTGATTGATTGATTGATTCAAAACATATAATTTATTATTCTTTTGGTACTTTAACTATATTTTGATGCTGATACTTTTGTACTTTTCCATGAGTAACATTTTGAATGCTGGACTTTTACTTGTAACAGAGCATTCCTACACTCTGGTACTTCTACTTGTATTGAAATACTATATCTGAGCACTTCTCCCACCTCTGAAAACAGGTATGCTCGATGTAACATTGAAATGCACAAAATTAAACTAGCAACATAGTATCAACTCGCCGTGTAACACGATAGCCTATACAAAGAAAATAATGTAACCTCTCGTTTTTATAGGTTTTAAGTTACAGCTTGAGATATTCCTCACCTTCTGGTTGCTCCATCTACTTTCTCAGAGTGTCGTCGTTATTGAAATCCTTCACAAGCTGTTCATACTGAGAGCTGCGATGCGCCGCTTCAATGTGTGATTCCTCCGCGTCGTTCACCCAGCAGGACTCGCGACTGTGGATACCTCAGTAGAAAAACAAATCCCTTTAATTGTTCACAGGAAGAAAAACAAATCAAGAAACTAAGCACACTCCTCCTGTACGAGGCTGCTTTCTTGTCGCTGGCAGGATAACTGACGTAATGCAGTCTTCACATTCCTGTACGGAGAGCGGAAGGGCTCAAAGCAGCACCTGGAAGCAGGAGAAGAAAACTGAGGTTTGGGACAAAAAAACAAACTGAAAGGGAACAACAGTGGCGCCATCTACAGACACAACGACCACACTGCAGCATTGTTCTACCAGACACTGATTTCTACATAACATAACATAACGGAAACTCACATGTAATGCCGGGCAAGGGAGACAACGACAGCTTGTCCCAAAATTATATTATTTTCCTTTTACAGAAAAGAAAAATTGTATTATTGATTTTGTTTGAAATGTTTATGAATGTTATTGATGTCGTAATTGTACAAAGCTTTGGCAATACTGTGTGTCATTATGGTCGTGAAAATAAAGCTATTTGAATTGAATTGACAGTGTTCAAGATGTAAACTTGTTCAGTCTTGTATAAAGGCATAGCATACAACAAAATAAACATAAAATACCATCATTGTTTTTTGTTTTAATAACAGAATATACGTGTCAATGACCTAGTTACAATTTTAGTTTAGTCACTTACTTAACCATTAATCTAAATGCAGTTTGGGATAATAATAATTATTATTATTTATGCAGCCAAACGTTGTTTTTATTTCTTTTTGTTGTTGTTTGTATTTGTCATCATTACTTTTTGCAGCAAGGCTTTTATTTTGAAAAGAGGCGTGCCTTAAACCGGTTTAAGTAACAGTAGCCAGAGCAACAAGGATGGAAAAAGACATATTATGCACTAACAGTATGTCACATAAGACAAGTCTGCATGAGGAACAAACGTGGTGGGCTTTACACGTGCATGTTGCCGGTCTTTGTGTTTAAGGCTACCCTTATTCTCGCGCATGTTTTAGGCATTCATTGAAAATTACGCCTCATTATTAAGTAGCCATACGTTAAGAGACCTCATGTTCTGAATAGACCACCATAGATTTTTTTACCTAGGGAAATTTGACACCTGGGTTATTTAACGGAAACAATTTGTCTCGATTTTTCGGATGTCCGTCTAACAGAGTCAGTGATTCGCTACTATTTCTCTCATCACTAATTAGCCACGATGGATCTCAGTGCAGAACATTTAAAGACCCCCGGCTCTGATGAGAAAGATTTTGCTCTAAAGCCCTTAAATGTCAAAGTGACTGGCAAGGAGAGTGGAGAGGCGCAGAGACCCACATGGAGCAACCGGATGGAGTTCATCCTGGCGTCCGTGGGGTACGCGGTGGGTCTGGGCAACATCTGGAGGTTCCCCTACCTGTGCTACCGGAGCGGCGGAGGTGAGGCTGTCTAATGTTGTAAATTAAAACCGGGGGTCTTACAGGGTTAAAGGGTCAAGGGTGTAGCATGGAAGATGGTCTGACTGATGGTTTCAGATGTATTGCAAATCCTAAAAACAAACGTAGGGGTGGGTGCAGACTAGAGACACAAAACAAGAAATGTGAATTAATAATAATAATAACACTTTATTTATATAGCACTTTTCATACAACACGTGCAGCTCAAAGTGCTTTACAAAATGACACATCACAAGTTAAAAACAAACAAGATATTCCCCTCAGATTATTTGTTAAGAATTGTAAAAGGTGCATGCAGCAAAATATAACATTGTATCAGGTTAATAGACACAAGGAGGTAAAATGTATTATAATACAAATAAAATAAAATAAAATAAATAATGGTTTCTCTCTGACAGATAAGACACAAGACAACAGAGTCGATGCAACAATATAACATATAACATATAATATAAAACCCCATAAAACAAAGTGAACATATAGGTACAACAGAAATACAAATGAAAAGATTAAATCCTATAAAATAAATAAAACAATATAAAAGTAGGTAAATAATAAAGACTAAAAGAATATTTAAAGTGGGGGGTTGCTAATAAAAAGCTAATCTAAAAAGATTTGTCTTTAGCTGTCGTTTAAAAATGTCATGCACTGAGTTGGCCTCTCTGATGTTTCCTGGTAGGGCAGGGGTGTCAAACTCAAATACACAGTGGGCCAAAATAAAAAAAATGGGTACTAGTCGAAGGCCGGACTGGTTCAATGTTTATTGCAAAACTTATTGAAATAAACGTATTGCACATATTAAACCTGGAATTTACAAAGCTTAAATTATTGCCTATACAAACAACATTAAGCATTAAATAAATGAAAAATCAGTTGCATTCATTTCTTATGGCTCTATCTGCAGCTTTTCCGGAGTCATTTCTTATGATTACATTTTCCCACAGGCCAACAACAGCTTCAAAAAAACAATTTCCCTCAAAGAACAAACAAACATGCCCCGTTGTCGCAAAAAAAAAAGTGCAGAAGGAAACATCCATTGAAACTCAGTGTGCTGCTCTGTGATGCTAGTTCCAGCCGGATACTTGGCATCTCATCTTGGGTACAAGTTCATCAATGTTTGGGGTCAGGCTCTGAGCTGAGGAAATCCTCAGGATTGAGTGAAGGTGTGCGTGCAATATACCGGCGGGCCAGATCTAATAGTAATTAAAAATTATCCTGCGGGCCGAAATTAAATCCGCCAAGGGCCTGATTTGGCCCCCGGGCCTTGAGTTTGACACATGTGTGGTAGGGTGTTCCAGAGTTTGGGAGCGTAGTGGATAAAAGCAGCCTCACCCATTTTAGTTTGGGGGACTTTAGGGATGAGTTAGCCTGCAGATGACATACATACAACTAACACGAACACATATGGGAAAGTTAGTAAACCATTGTCTTTGCATTCAAATGTAACTGATCATGATGTTTTGTGATGTACCAATAATGTCTAAAATGCTCCTGTAAAGATCATGTTATTTATTATTCAGACTAAAAAATGTTATAGCTTTTTGTGTATGTATAAATGTACAGACTCCTCACAAGCAGTCACATGCAGAGTGATTCATATGAGTTACATGACAAGCTCAGTCATTAGGGTTTAAACTGTTAAGCCCCAAGCCTGTTTTTCAGGTTTCAGGCTTGAAAATGACATGCCCAAAACAAATGACTACAATTTAACTTCTAAAAGGGTTATATGAATAATTTATTTTATCAAAGCAAGGTTACATCTGTAAGTTGGATGTAGAAGTGTCAGAATCAATATAGATGTTTCTCAGTCAGAGTAAATTCTGATGGAACATAGCAAAAAAAGGTAAATTCTTACCTCCGCCTAAAGAAAAAACATTACTTATAGTGAAAACCACCCTTGAATGATGGGATGGTAGACTAAAAGCTTTAGGAATCCAAACTATAACATATAATAAGTACCCTGTATCAAGATTGAGGCAAAACAAGTAAAATTTGACCTTTTTAGAGAGGTTTAGCAAAAAAAAGGTCCAGGCGGAATAAGCTTTGGGCACATTTGGGTACATCTGGTTCCATCAGTGCCATTTGACCTTTTTCAGGTACCAGACTATAACAATTGTGTATTACTTTGAATTATCACCATAGGTATTCATTCCATCCAAAGAAAAAAAGAAAGAAAAAAAAGAAAATATATTTTTTAATTTATTTTGTGGAAAAAAAAAGGACCCGCCGACGGGGTCTTTGGGGCTTAACAGGTTAAACAAGTTAAACAGAAAGATGGATTGGCCGTGATGGATAGCAAATGTATCTCCAACACACTTTATATCGAAAGTAGGCATACAATTGAAGCATATCTGTTTATCATTCGTATCCTTTATTGAATTTGTGTTTTAAAGCTCCCATGTCATGCTTTTCCGGTTATTACCCGTCCCCTTGTGTGTTATGAAGGTTTTTATGCATGTAAACGGTGTGCAGAGTCAAAACCCTCAAAGTACACCCTGTAGCGAGTAAAACTCTAACACAGAAAATACCTCCCCAAAACGCCTCGTTGGAGATACGTCACTGCCCATTTGATTCTTCCGGGTACCGCCTGATGTCATGCGGTACCCGGAACGAAATGGACCAATCCCGAAGAGCTATGGCCACACCAGCAGCGGCGTGTTCCTCCTCCAGAGGTTCGAAGAACCGGCATTTCACAGACGAAAGCTTCCAAAACATTGCCCAGTTTGAGGCCGGATATGCACAGCTTGTTTGGACCGTTTGGAGCAGGGGAAGATCTGGGTATACAACCTGTAAGTTTGCATTGTTATTTGTGTATTTATCAAACAAGACTGTTTAAATGTGTAAACTGTGTTGGACTGCTAAGCCATTGACACAGTGCTAACTGTGCTAACTAAGTTGCTAGAGTTTCCATATATCAACTCTAATATCAGCAGATGGCCTTGCATACATGTATCTCATAGCAGGAGAATGTCTGCATTCACACACAAAATACCTATTGACAGTATACTCCAGGTGATTTGCCGGTCAGTCGCGAAACGTAATTACATTATAGCTGGCGTAGCGATCTAACACACGGAGCTAGAGCTAGTTTTGGTCGGAAAAACATTTTTGTGATGCTACGTTGCTAGCGTTTAAATATATCAACTACAATGTCAGCAGATGGCCTTACATGTTTGTCATGGCAGGAGAATGTCTGCAGTCACACACACGGAATACTCATACAGTATACTGTACTGTGATTTACCGTACATTGTGACCGTACATATACTGCATGTAGCTAACGAGGCTAGCTGTATGCTAGCGCAAAACAATGTATTCATGCAAGTTACATTGTATGGTAGCAGAATACCCGTATACGATTGCAATTATAAACACGTTATTGCTAGCCTAATATGAACCACTAGCTTTTGTTCATAGTAGTTTTATTACACTGCATTATAGTTGCCTTTCCTCCAAGCTAACGTTCATATCGTGTTAGCTACCAAGGTAAACAAAGCTAGGTTAGCATATTAGCAGGCAAGCTGTTCATTACACAACTACTACTAACGAATCTAAAACAACTAAGTTTCTCTAATATTTTGTGATTTGCATTTGATTTCGTCCAGCCAGATCCTGGCGGACAATCCATGACGGGGAAGGGACTTCGACTACTACTGAGGCCTCGTGCTAAAAGGCACCGCACCGACTGTGCGCAGGCAAGATGCGAGGAGGAGGAATGAATGATATACCGTGTGTATATATGTATATTTATGTTCATTTTGTACATTTCTAAAAATAAAGTTTAATGGAAATACTTAGTAGGCCTATCCTTTCTTCCCTGAATTCATATATAGCAAACCATGATTTGATTTCTCATCAAACAGTAGTAGTTTATAACGGGTAAAAATAACTTACTCTTTGTTATGAGAGTGGCTCGTAGGCCACAACGGAAAGACAAGGAGACATACACGAGTTTACAAAACCACGGCACATTTATTGTGGTAAATGCAGAGATAGGTGGTTGAGAGGATCGCAGAGTTAGTCTTCCTGCAGCCGCTTTGGAGAGAGACTGGGGCCGTCGTGTCCGGAGGTGTCCGTGATCGTGCTGATTAGCCTCTTCAGCTCCACCCCATCGTAAGACAAAGGCCCTGGGGCCGTCACACTCTTCTATAACAACAGTTAAAAATATATATGTATATAAAATATACCGCTGTACCGACGCCATGATAAGACTGATGTTACGCTGAGAGCAGCCGGGAAAAGCACTGACATGGGCGCAGCCTCTCTGGTGGTTGACTAATCAGAACGAGTGGCCGAGCTGACCAATCGGAGCACACTAGGCTCACAGGGAGGGGGGGGCAAGAGCTCCAACGAGTCGTTTAGTGGAGAAAGTACTGCTGAATACACATGCTTGACAGAGATGCTGTATGCGAAACCAATGTGAGTTTGGAAAATTGCACAGTATAAATCTATTTTAGTATACCTCAACAATGTAATTATGATCAGTGGAAATGGCCATGACATGGGCCCTTTAAGTCATTTGTCATCCAACCAGCCTTTCATCCATTCTGTATAGAAAAACAACTTTGTTTAGAGGGCGGTAGTGGTCCCAATAATTTACTGGCCAGGTAACTCTGCACAGGGTGGCAAGTATGCGTTAGATCTCACATGTACGTTCACACCTTTTGATAGAAAATAGTTCCTGCCCTGTTTTGGACTGTGGGAAATATTTGAACTTATGAAACAGGTCCGTTTTTAAAACTGAGGTAAAAAAATGTATCTTCAAATAATTGATTAAGAACACACTACATATTTGATAACTGTATGTTTATTTACATATATGTGTTAGTATTCTACCTCAGGAGAAACAACTAGGGATGTGTTTTTCATGATTAAATATTTACATCTTTAAAGAATCATTTGTTAAGCAGAAACTTGTCACTGAATGTTTTTTTTGTTTAAACCAGTATTCAACTCAGTGTAAACCTGATTTACAGAATGCTGCATCTAAACAATGGCACAGCAGCTGTCAGCTACCACATATTTAAGAGCATGTCTTGCATTATGCAAATCGTACATACTTTAAATAGTTTTCCTTTCTTTTTCAGGTGCCTTCTTGTTCCCTTATCTTACCATGGTGCTCCTGTGTGGCCTTCCTCTGCTCTTCATGGAGTTTTCTATTGGGCAGTACACTCGATTAGGGCCAGTGCATGCTCTCGCCAGAATCTGCCCCTTGTTGAAAGGTGAGTGACTCTCCAGGCCAAAGGCTCCTCTCATGTGAGGGGATGAACATAAGATGGTTTCCCTTCAGTTTCACATATTTGGGGACAGTCTTGCAAATAGACTTTGCTATTAAAGTGTGTTCACCAAATACAGATACATTACATATTTGTTTGTACCCAGTGTTGGACTTTTAAATAAAAGTATCCTCTCTTACCTTCATAAAACCTCCGTGTACTCAGATAATATCAGCCACTTTTTTAGGCAAATAAATACTTAAAGTAGAAGTAAAAAGTTAGAATACTGTGGCCAGAGGAAAAACAATAATTGGAAAAACAATTTAAGGGAATGATTGTTCATTGTTTTTCATTATCTGCATACATTGAATAGTGATATACGATTTAAGTTGGTATGCAATTTATTTTACTGCAACCTATTGTTAAGCAAATGAAAGCCCAACAAATGTATTATCAACCAGAGGTCTTAGAAATCCCTGTTGATCAATTAATTAATTAATTTCGACAAAGAGCATCACGTTTCTAAATTAGATTATTCATAGAAAGAACATAGCATCTGATTTATAAATGGCATTACAATTTGATCCTATCAACTCCACATCATGTTATAAGAAGCTAGCATATTTGCACTAAGCCTGGGCAGAATAGGTGTGTTTCATTCACACATATGTTTGAGAAACAACATGTTAGGACAAATACAAACATGAAAAGAAGAGAAAGTATACTGTAGTGGTTTATCTATATGCAACCCAGGTCATGATAGCTTGATAATGAAATGCAACACACAATACAAACAGCTTATCACAGTGTTCTTTTAGGTGGTTAACTGGTCCAACAAGTGAACACACAGCAGTTGTCTTTATCTACTTTGGATCAAAGTTTAGAGAAGTGTAATGGATTCTTGTTCACTTTTAAGTTTGCAAACACCCCTTTATATTCAAGTGATGACGATGCCTGTTCAGAAAAGAAAAAACGATCTCAGCACGATAATCCTCCAACTTCCACAGTCTTAAAGCCCTTCTTTTCAGTTCAGGAGGGATTAAATAGTCACTTAAATAGTTTAACATAGGTGTGTCTGGCAGAGCATACATTACATAAAATGACAATTGACTTCGTGTTCATAGTAGTGGGTGGATTTCTGTTTCGTTATCCTGGGCACACCTGGGTTCTTTCTCATATTCTCACCTGAAGAAAAAAGGTTACAACCAAACTTAACAGTCGCCAGTAAAAGATTACATTTGATGCTAAGATGGGCTGTTTCAGTAGTTTGATATCGATTCAACTTCACATAGGAGAGTAGTTTGGAAACTGCAGGTGATAGTTTGTGTCTGTCAATGAGGTCATGTCTTTGGTCTGTAATGTGGGTCTGTTTGTTTGGATATCTCAGAAACAAACCAGATTTCATTCACGAAAAGTTAGGTCGTGTCAAGAAGGAAACTTTTAAATAAACATTTTTATGACATACTTTTATTCTATACTAATGAAAGTACTTTGCACATATATCCCAAACTGATCTCATATTAAACGCAGATCTGGATACAAATCCGGACTAACCTTTTATACAAAAACAGTTGTTTTTATAAGTGATCAGTGTAGAGGGCAGTGCTACATCTTTGGAGTGCTTTCTATTATTTTATAATATTTTCTGTCTGTTAAATGAATTGTTTTCACATGTTGATGGATGGGAACTTGTCTAGAGAACATTTCAATCACTGCTGTAATCCCTGTCTATTTCTTTATCATCAAATTGTAATTGTACATCCTCTGGCATTGAATGAACATTTATTCATCTGAATGAAAATGAAATGTGAGTCATTGAATACGTTTTTGAAACAAATTCGGATAATTGGGCAAATCATGTGCATCAGAATGAAGAGTTGTTACTATCTAAAGTTTTAAATCATTCACGCCGGGTTGTATAGGCAACATTTTAAATCAAACTTTTGAATGAAGTGAAATGTGTGGACCCAGAGAGAAGGGGCAGATAAAACAAGAGCCCAGCCATCAACAAACAACACTTGGGTGTAAATTGAAAATGCTGTATATCTTGTTCTAACTCAAATTTTTCTCGATGGTTTTCTTATCTCCTTAATGACAGAGATTGTCTACCCGGTCAAAACGTTTGGGTCCTCACTTGATTTATCGCTCATTTCTTCCTGGTTAATGCTCTGTGCTTAACAGGGGCCAAAAGCAGGTAGTTTTTTTCTTCCTGTATGTTCTTTGAATTGATTTCCATTTGCAACTCACTGGAGTTTGCTGTGATTTACCTGTGATCCGTGATTTAGATGCTCAGAAATATCTATCACAAATCAGCAAAAATGTCTTATTTACTGCCGTATGCCTGATCGCAGCATTACAAGTTGTTTACATTTCCTGACTCAACTTTGGTAGTACTAAGTGAGGGCATTTAGTGTGAGGAATGACAGGGTAATATTCGGACAGCTCCTTCATATTACCTCTATTTGTTTTTATATCTGCCTTGTTTTGGAGTTCAGCACACTGATTTTAGTTTTGAATGACTTCACCACTTACAGTAGAGGGTGTCTGGTGTACCAGTGGAGCAGTCAGCCATGAAAGCTGGATGTTAAAGTGAGATAGGCAACAGGCAACAGGCAATAACAAAGGAAGGAGCGCTTAACATGAACCATGCCCAGTGGATGTAGCTGATCCCAGAGCTCAGGGGGTTGCCTTTGGTTCTTTCATTATGATGACACAGAGTGGTTTTTCAGCCGCCTCTCTTACTATTTTACTAAATATTGACACTGGATTCAGTGGAGCATGGCATTCCAGTCTACAACCTGTAGAACCATTGTTTTTATATACTGCTGGAAAACAGAGAGACATTTTAACATTAGACAGTGTTGAGATCAGTAGGGGAAAAATCCCTAGCAGTTCCAAATGACAAAGATAACAATGAAGGTCATGATAACATGATACAGTAATAATAGTTCATTAGTTTGAAAAAAATGTAATGCGTTTTTTGATGAGAGTTAAATGAGAGTGTACCCCAGCAAAGTGTATTTGAAGCCGCGTCTAGCAGCCAGATAAACTTAGCATGAAGTCTGCAGGGGAAATGACAAGTGGCTCAAACCTAAACATGAAATAAAAAAATGACCATTCCCTGTGCCAGAGGGTTTGTGCAACTTTCTCTTTACTAGGACCAGGAGATAAAAAATGTAGATAAGCAAGATTTCAAAGGTGCCCATAGTAAGATCTTTGGAAAAACAACAAACCTGGCATTTTCGAGTCTTAGCTAAACTAATCCGCAGCGATTACTATCAGTAATATCAGAATTATTGATACAAGAAAGAAAGTGTTGTTTTCGTAAAAATAGCTATTTTTCCAGAAATGTAAGTTTGACAGAAACATCAAAAAGTGACCTATACAGGATAATCAATGCCTTTCCTGTGTTTAAAATGGTTCAGGATAATTATACCTGTCCACCGCCCACTGACATTTCTGCTCTTTAGCTGAGTCATTGCTCTGAAAGAGACACAACAGACACAGAGCAAACTGAAATCTGACACACAGCTCAGAACCACAGGTGTTAAAAGACTGAATAATTTACATCTGTTGCAGGACTTTGATCCCACTTTTACCCATTTGATCAAGAGCCTGTTATACTCACAGGGTAGAATCACACCAGGGAATTTCTAATCCATGGCTCCAGGAATCCCTTTTATTCGAGTTTGCTTGACTCCATCTTTGCCATCATAACCAGAGATAAACCCGCAGTAGCCTACATGCCTTTTTCTGTTGTCAATCCTTATGTGAGATGTAGACTGCACCCAAAACTTTAACCCTTGACCCAAATGATTGACCCTATGGCAGAGATTGCATAGCAGTTTTAGGAAGTAAAGTGTACACATGTTCCCCCACATCTGTTCTTATTTCTGCCGAGTCGTGTCTCACTTTGTGTCCCCTCCATACGTGTCACTCTGCAGGTGTTGGTCTGGCCACAGTTGTCATTTCCTTTGTGTTCTGCACCTACTACAATGTGCTCATGAGCTGGGCACTGTTTTATTTCTTCAACTCGTTCGAGGCGACGCTGCCCTGGACTTCCTGCAACAACACCTGGAACGTTGTCGAAAACTGTTCCAGTGGTTTCCTCGGCAACACCAGCCACCTGCAGTCTGCCAGCCAGCAGTTCTTCGAGTGAGAAATATACCTTATTTAATATATATTATTATATTAACAAGCTGTTTTTTAACATGCACTGGAGGAAATAGCCGTTTCTAGATGTTTTTCATAGAGGGCCCCTAAAAAACGTTTTATTGGTTGTCAATCATGAATAAAACAAGGAAACCCGTCCATATGTCCAAAGACAAACACACAGGCTGACCACATAATGACTGAATTCATTTAAAATGGTTGACAACAATACAGAGAAATATCTATTTTAAAAAGTACAAACAGCAAAGTAATTAGAGTAATAATAGAAATAGAAATTGAGCAAAAAGGATATGAAAAAAAGCTTCTCAGAGATTACTTATTACAGACATTTTAATAAATTCACTATATTCATAGAGGACATCATTCAAGGTTCAAGGTTCAAGGCTTTTATTTGTCATATGTACATAGCTACAGTGTAGTTATGTCGAAGAAAATCTTAGGTCCCAGGCTCCTCCAACAGTGCAACACAATAAAACAGAAAAAATAGTGCAAGTAAATACAAAACAAATTGTGAAATATTGCAATAAGAGTCTATATACAATTGGAATATGATATATTAGATACATCATTTGTAAGTTGCAGCCAGATGAATGTTATGGATGTTCTTTCAAAAGTTGAATATATTGTTAAATATAGTATTACTGTTGAGCAATAGGAGTTGTTTTTGTCTGTGCTCTTCACTGGTGTATAGTTTGTGGTGCTTAGATGGAAAAACATTGCTAACGTTTCTACACCAATCAGGATTTAGCAACAACATTTCATTGATAGTTTTTGGGTTTTATGCCACTTAAGTCCTGATGAAGGGTTACGGTTTCATAACTTGAACTATAGTTTAACTTTTCTTTAGATTGATGTTTTCAGGGGCTTCTAGGATACAATATGGGAATGACTTTCTATTTGTATTTTCACATTTATCCATTATTCTTGTCTTTTTCTTCCAGTCGCAGACTTCTGCAGAAAACGAATGGCATTGAAGAAAGTGGCGGCGTGCGCTGGGAGCTCTTTGGCTATCTCATTTTTTCCTGGGTCATTGTGTATTTGTGCATATTTAAAGGAGTCAAATCGACAGGCAAGGTCAGAACATTTACTTATGCACATTGGTAATTATTCCTAATGTTGTGCCTGTGTCAATGTATTTGTAATTGTTTGATAATTTTCTGTCCTTCTGATATTTTATCACAATGTATGCTTATAATTCAGCAATTTTGAGGCATAGATAATGAGGTTTATAGGAAAAGTGTTCATTTTCATGCTGATTACAGGGATATAGTTTATCGTCTATTGTCCATACGCTTAGTCATTATTTGTCTAAAAAGTATTTAACTGTGTTGGAGTGTGTATGTGGGATCACACAGTTGTCTGTTTCACACGTGGCGTGGTTAGTAGTGAGTCAGCTGGTGAGAGGTTGAGCTGTATTCCCTGTCACAAAGCTCAAAGTTGTGTTAACCTTTAAAACAAAAGGCTGCGACGTGTGTGGGCTTCTGCTAATCCTGTGAGGAAAACCATCTGAATGTCATGTATTCTTCTAGATGCCATCAGAATCTGATTTAATATGTGTGGTTGAGGTCTCTGGGGAAACAATTCAGCAAGTACAATGAATTTTAAGGGCTTTTTGGTCACTGTGAGTCTTGTAAAAGAGCCTCAGTAACTAACTGTTGCAACACCGCCTACACAACACAAACCAACACATCCATCAATGTCTGCTTCTTTCTGTTTGTGTCCCACAGGTCGTGTATTTCACCGCTGTTTTCCCGTACTTCATTTTGTTTGCCCTGCTCATTAACAATGTGCAGCTCCCTGGAGCCAAGAACGGCATCCTCTACTTTGTGACACCCGTCTGGGACAAACTGTTTGAAGTGAAGGTGAGACTCTGTTAATGAGTGAGTGAAAAAAGTAATATGAACTGTAAGACTTTGGTTACACATTGGCATCACATTGTTGAAATCAACTTTTGGTTTTCAAATTAAATTAATTATAATTCTTTGTTGGATCAAATATATATTTACCTTTACTGTGTATGTCAGAGAATGAGGAATTTCATGGAATTCCATTAAGCTTTTTTCTTGTGTTTGCTCAAGCCTCAAGCTTATCTATATTACATTACATTACATGTCACTTGTTAGACGCTTTTATCCAAAGCGACTTACATACATTCAGTACTGTGGGCAATCCCCACAGGAGCAATTTGGGGTGAAGTGTCTTGCCCAGGGACACAACGACATGCTGACTGCAGTGGGACTCAAACTTGCTATCCCGTGATTTAAAGTTCAGCGCACTAAATTCAGCGCACAATCCCACTGAGCCACAGCCTCCAGAGCCAGAAAGTGTGAGAGGGAAGAGTTTGTTGAAGAGATTAACTCAATAAACATCTTAAGTATGTCTCAGGATTTATTGGAAAATTAATAATTGGCTTTAAAGATTTCAGGGACAGAATAACCTTTTATGCAAAGCAAAACTAGATCCAGAGAATAACGTGCTCTTTCTTGTCCCTTACAAAACAACATGAACAATTATGCTTGATACTTACTGAGGTGAGAACTAGGTTTAGTTCTGTGATTGTAAAATATAATACAACCACACATACATTTAAAGCATGACTTCCAATCTTGGATCTCTCACGCCTCCTTTTAACTAAATATGCAATCAGACTTATATAAAAAGATCGGTACCACTTTACAATAAGACTACCCTTATAAAGGGTTTACGAATAGTTTGTAATTCATTTATTAATTAGGTTGTGAAACACTTTATAAATCATTAATAAGCTTTTATAAGACGTGAGATAAACAGGGCAACTGTGACCGGTTGCTTGCCAAATAGTGAGCCCACATTTATCTGTACTGCTAAGCCTTATATTGGCTACCTAGCTAACTTCGTCTTCTTCATCAGCCAGCATCCTTGGTATCTGTTGTTCACTGAGTTGATTCTCGCTAAGTAGCCAATATAAGGCTTAGTCATCTTGCCAAATAGTGAGCCTATGTTGCCGTATGAAAACTATATACTATACTACTATAAACATAGTTTTCATATGTCAACACAGGCTCACTATTTGGCAAGATGACTAAGCCTTATATTGGCTACTTAGCGAGAATCAACTCGGTGAACAACAGATACCAAGGATGCTGGCTGATGAAGAAGACGAAGTAAGCTAGGTAGCCAATATAAGTGAGTTTATCTCACGTCTTATAAAAGCTTATTAATGATTTATAAAGTGTTTACAACCTAATTCATAACCTAATTATAAACCCTTTATGAATCCTTTATAAGGGTAGTCTTATTGTAAAGTGGTACCACAAGTTGTTCTTGAAACACCTCAAACACTGTTGTCTAGAAACTTTATTAAAAGTATTAAATGAAACTACACAGAAGTTAATCCTCGTGCTCCTCTTTCTCTTTACCATAGGTTTGGGTAAATGCAGCGGCCCAGGTGTTCAACTCCATCGGAATAGCATTTGGCTCCATGATTTCAATGGCTAGTTACAACAAGTTCAACAACAACATCCTCAGGTAAACACTCTGTTTGTAAAACATGTTCTGTTCTGAGTCTCTGACTGTGAATACCCTCTGAAGATTTTTGACTGTTTGTGTACACTGCTGCTCGCAGTGTACATATAAGGAAATAATCACACACTTCCAAAGATACAACAGAAAATACATGCAATAAATATTTACCACTTATCACAAATAATTTCAGGACCTCCCACTATAAACTCAACAATATGCTGTGAGCTGAGAGCTGCTTCCCAGCGGTTCGCTCAGCAGCAGGGGAACAAAGAACAAATTGTTTATGAAAGAAGCTTCATTTTTGGTTACTGAGTGGCCTTCAGCTGCTTTTTAGAAAGTTCCCTCCCATGCTGCAGAACTAAAATGATCTCCGTCTGCTAGACTCACTATAAGCCACAAAGTTCACCAGAGAGACATTGAGAAAGTATGACAGGAAATGAGGCTATACTATACTGAGTCTCATTTAAACAAGAAGATTGTTTTTATACAGTATATGAAGGCTTAAGCTTCTCTGTGGGATGTACAAAAAAACACACACCTGCTGAGACAATTCGATTTTTACAATACTTCCTGCCAAACAGTGAGCTTGTTAATCCAAAACAAAAACCTCCTGAGTTTCTAAGTTACTGTAAACTGTACTGACTTAAAACTGGAGGATTTGGACTGGCTCAATTGCAAGATCAGACAAGTTCAGACTGAACATCAGGCAAGGACAAGATTGAGGTGAAACTAGGAAAGTACAGAAGACAAACAACAAATGAAACACCAGAAGAGCTGTCTGCTTGACAATATGTACACAGAGAAACTGGCAAAATCAGAATCAGAAATCCTTTATTAGTCCCACAGCAGGGAAATGTACAGTGTTACAACAAAAAGTGTCATAGCAGGTAAAAAAAAAAAGGCATGCAATAATAAAGAATAAACTAACTTATTAAATGTTGAGAAGAAAAGCACACATTAGTTGTACTATACTACAAATAAAGACAAATATGTAGGTAAGTGCACAACCATGGCTTATAAGGATGAGCAGCAACTTAAGAACTTAGTGACATACAATATGTAATGTTAGGTGTTGAGACATTATAAAAGATGTGGGACATTCATTACAATGTAGTGTTTTTCAACTTGACTGACTGAAAACTGACTAAATACACTTAGCATGCGGGAAGGATAGTGAGCGACAGGGAAATTAACCATGGTAGCCGATGGCAGTAAGCAACGTTTTGGAAAAGGAGAGCATATTTACAATAAAACTGAGTGATTGAAATGACATTTAACAAGAATAAAGTTGACCACGCTTACATTATTTATTTTGTCCTCCTTCTTTCCCAGGGATGCTTTGATTGTATCGTTTACCAACTTCTTCACTAGTATCCTGGCTGGGTTTGTGATCTTCTCAGCTATTGGCTACATGGCTCATATACATAACCTCCCGGTGGACAACATAGCTTCAGATGGTAAGCATAAAGCCTGTAAAGAAAATGGCACCACAGTTTTAAATCTTTGTTTTATCATGGACTAAATGTAACTAAGACGTCAGAGTGCAACAGAAATAGATAGGGACACACAAATATATCCCAGCCTCTGTTTTCCTTTCATCCTCCTGGGATCTTTTCTGCTCTCCCTTTCACGGAGAAACAAGCCACAGATTTCAAGACATGCACATCTGCTGTGCATATTTAAAGTAGGCAGGTCATTCAGGGACATTTATGCTGCGTTTCCATTACAGTTTAGGAACTGGGGTAGTAACTATAGTAACGCAGTGTAGGCGGAGCCGTGACGTCATCTTCAATGCGAAACACAGAAAAACAACATCAGCCGTTAGCTGTCTCACTCAAGCTCACAGCTCCTCATATCTGTTGACAAAAGTTTGTACACATAAGTTTGTACAAACAAGTATAAACCACAGACTGTCTGTGTCATGGCGAGTACAGTCGCTGCTTTATTTATGTCTGTATAGGCCGTTGTTGTGAGTGTGGACGGTCGGAGCATATACTGCGTTAGCTTAGCCAATCTCCATTTAGAAAACACGCATTTTAAAAGGTTTTTCGCCTGCCGTCTGTCTGCAGACTTGTCAAAGCATTAATTCATGGTTTTTACTAACCGGTGTCATTATGTTGTTACTTCGGCATCATTTTGAAACGTGTATTACAATTAAATCACGGTAAAATATGTTCATTTTGTTGTAGTATTTGTTGTAGTTGTAGCATACTCAGCCCGGTTGTTGGCCTGGAAAGAACCTCGATTTTGGAGAGCCAGAAAACTGTGTAGCCGGAACTACGCCTAGTGGAAACGCAACCAAAATAGGGCCGGTACGGCACGGCACGCTCAAACCGCGCTCCGTGCTGTAGTGGAAATGCGCCATTAGTGGAAGTTTACAATTTCTTAAAGCAGTATTCTACAGATTTTACTTATGGAGCTTATTTTACACATCTTCCGTCTAGTACTTCTCAGGCTGTTGTATACTGTATTTAATAAAAACAACTCCTATAATGCAATTATGGCAAATACTGCAATAGAAACTTGATGTGTGTAATGAATACATGTTAAGGCTGCATTTTGGGAATTCTATACCCAATGTTATTGAGATTGACCCAGAATAGTGACTAAAAGTAAGGATATTTAATTATCTTTCTTGTTTATTTCACTCTTACAATACCTGTAAAACTAGACTCCCCTTCCCATACTGACTAAAACAACTCCCTGACTAAAATGGGAGGTTGTTTTGCTTCAATAACCGAGTCTTCAGATAACATCAGAGGGGTTTAGTCGGGGCCTGAGGTCATCAAAACAATGTAAAACTGCTCTCTTGAATGACTACCTGATCTGATCTTCCTGTAAATATGTTTTGCTGATCATCGGTTACATTTCTTCAAAAGAGTAATCTTAAAAGTATATCATTTGTGTGTGTAGACAGGGTGGGCCAATCAATGCATGTTCTGTATTCCTCCCCCTAAGAAAAGCAATGCCTCTAAATCCTTTTAGTGTTTGAGTTTAGGACCTTCTTCAATGCATGTAAAGGATTTTAACCTCCAATCACGATACAACACTGACATCGCATCCTATTTAAATGTACAACGTGCTATACAAGTCAAACAGGGTTATGCACTCTGTCTTCCTTTAGTAGCCATAACTCACACCATCATTAATTTTTTATAACCATAGCGTGTAAAAAAAAAGTATTGTTTGGTCTTGTCCTTCAATTAAATAGTACACCAAGGTGCTCTTTAACTCCTCATGTCGGGCGCAGAGTCTGAATGAACTAGTCTTACAACATCACAGTAGCCTTTCAACCAGTAACTGGAAAATAGCTGAGTTTTTAAGTTTAACCACAGGTTCATGAACCTAGCTGAATTTGGGTATATTTGTTTAAATGTGCATCTAGGCTTACTAACAACTTCTGTACTTTGTGATGTCTCAGGTCCTGGCTTGGTGTTTGTTGTGTACCCTGAAGTCCTCTCCACGATGCCCGTCCATCAGCTGTGGGCTCCTCTCTTCTTCTTCATGTTGCTGTGTCTGGGCCTGGACAGCCAGGTGAGCATCTCTCACACACTCATATAAACACAGCGGCTCGACTTTAGTTTTTAAGGAAGCAGGCAGATATGGGGAAATGGCGCAAAACGGTTTTACGTTACTTAACTCATGTCTTCATAAAAATGACAAAAGATGTATCCCCGGTTTCTACAACTGTGCACATTCAGGTTGACTATTTCTCTCTGCCTGTTAACCCAACTGTGTCCACCTTTTGGCCATTGACATGGAAAACAATAATCACTTACAATTTGAAGGTGTATTACATTACATGTCATTTGTTAGACGCTTTTATCCAAAGCGACTAACATACATTCAGTACTGTGGACAATCCCCACAGGAGCAATTTGGGGGGTCCATTCGTTGCCCATGGACACAACGACATGCTGACTGCAGTGGGACTCAAACTTGCTATCCCGTGATTTAAAGTTCAGCACACTATCCACTTAGCCACAGCCTCCCGTATTTACGAGTATTTAACTTAACCTTTATTTTGTATTTCAAATGGTCAATCTACCTATTGGTTCAAGTATAATCTGCAATCTTTAGGTGATTGATATCTTTTTCTTCTCGCCCTTATATGCTAAACAATTATTTGTATTCCTTTCTCGCACTAATCTCTTTTGTGGTTACACAGGTATTTGCACAGACTCATAATTGCATCCTAAAAATAAGTGCTAGAATGAATTAAAGCCAAAACAAATCAAGAGGAAACCACTTTTGACACAGTCATTTTCATTACTATTTTAAAACGCAGTTTGTGCTTTTTTTTGTGTGCCACAGTTCGCCACAGCTGAGGTAGCCGTCACGTTCATAAAAGATGAGTTTGGCCCCCAAGTTCTGCGTTTCATAAAGAGAGAAGAGCTGCTGACCCTGGCTGTGTGCATCGTTGGCTTCGCCCTGGGGATTCCTCATGTGACCAAGGTACCGTAAACTCTTTTACTTCTCAGAGAAACATATCTGAGGATGTGTAGTAGCCTAGTCGTGGTATGGTTTGGTCATGTTTGTCTTCCTCTTCCTCTTGTCCTACCTGCACAGGGAGGTATCTACGTGTTTCAGCTGATGGACCACTACACGGCCGTGGTCTCCCTCATGTTCTTGGCTTTCTTCGAAGTTGTCGCTGTCTGCTGGATCTTTGGTAAGATTGCGTTATTTGGTCAAACCCAGACGCCTTTTTTTTTCCCCAAGCCACCAGAATCTGCTGTTGCTGGATATTTATTCAACTGAATTCTTACATATATTCACAACAGGAAGAAATCTGAATTAGTGGTTTTCTCTCAAGTGTTTAATCAGCCTCTCCCATCAGGTGTCCCACGTATCTGCTTGATGATCACGAGGATGCTGGGAAAAACTGCAAACATCTACTTTCGTGTCTGCTGGGGGCTGCTCTGCCCGGTATTGGTGCTGGTGAGGGTTAAAGAAGATGATCTGTGCAATAATATTATTAATGATGGTTATTTAATACATTTGTTAAGACTGTCCTTTTCCCTTCATAGTGTATACTGATCTCCAGCATTGTCCAGTACACTCCTGCTCACTATGAGACTTACACCTACCCAAAGTGGGCTGAAGGGGTGGGCTGGGGGGTCTCTCTGGTCTCCATTGTGTGGATCCCACTTGGAGCCATTCATGAGATCTCCAGCAACAAAGGCTCATTTCTTCAGGTAAGTGAAAGAGTCATTATTAGACAAATGAAGGAAGCTTATGTTGAGCTCTTTAAAGGCTCCTGTGCCTGTGAGGTTAAGCTCGACTGAAGGCCCACAGCAGTGCCTAACTTCATGTACAATGCTAGCGTGCTGTGGATTTAAGTATGAAGCTTAACCATCTCAGCATCTGTTAAGTGACACAAAACAAAAAAATGTAGCGGATGTGAATGTCATAGATGCAAAGGAATGTGTCGTTAAATAATGTGATGACAACAATTCATCCTGAGCACATGTTTGTACCATATATTTATATTTATATTTATATTTTACAATCTATCCAGTGGTTGATAAGATTAAGACCCCAACAAAGTGGTGGATCGACAGACAAACATTGCGATTCATACAGTCACAACAGGGGCTAACAAACGGGAGATATCAGTGTGTTTTTTTGTGCTGGGGAAAACAAGAAATAAGAAAAACTGTTTTGTTCCGTTTGTACTTAAAAACATTTTCTGAAAGGTTTCTAACACAGTGCTTTCTCTCACCCTCAGAGAGTTAAAACAGCTATGATTCCCACACTAGACCTGGATGCTGACTATGCCCTGCCGGAAAAACAGAACATAGACAACCCGGCGTCTGAAAACTTGATGACTTCAGTGGCATGACAAGGAATACAACCGTATCTGTGCGTATATACAAAACAAACTCTGTGTTAGGGCTTCTGGTGATGGCATATTTACACTGTCATACACAATCTTTTTGTATATCATAACATTACAATGTAATCATATTTGTTTTACCAAAAGACCGATACTTTACTGTACCTTTTGCACATTTGTAGCTGCCGTTGACAAGCACAAAGAGCCTCCTTTGTACCTTTTTACAGATGGGAGAACGAAAATAGATTTTAAAGAGATTGGATATGTTGTACACCAAGTAAAGAATAATTTATTTGATTTAGGTATGAGTGATTGTTTGCCCTGTAAAGATTATACAGGGGTTCATTCCAACCAAATATAGCCACTTAAATTATTATTTCATCCCCCTCCCAAAAAAAAAATGCCCAGTGTATGTTTGTGTTGTGGTGATGTTTTATCTAGCAATGTGTAAATAAGAGTCTATTAGGTATCAATGATAGAGGCATTTAGAGGCTTTTTCACTTTCTAAAGAGTCCTGTTTGAAGGTGTTCTCGAAATTAAGCTGGGAAATAAAGCCTTATTTGGCCTACATGTTATGTTTGTGGTCTTTAAATCCATAACACATCGTGCTGTTATGTTGTTAAATGTAGGGTTCAGACAATCTTCATCTGCTTACAAAGTTGAGAAAGTTGAGCATTGGCTAGGTATTCTGGTTTTGGTGGTCAGCACCTGAAGTAGTCGATACAAAAACAATGTTGTTGAATATAAAAGTTAGACATAACTTCTCCACTGTTGGCAGCTGAACGTGTGTTGTTATTCCCAAGACATAACAGGCAAAGGTAAATGGGTATACGGACTGTTACCCTTTAACAAGGTGTAAAGGTGGTCCGTGTTGTGTCCGTGTCTACATTTACATCATGTTCCAGCTGCTGGTACATGCTCGAAAACATTTTAACTTTAAGAATGTCTTTAGTTAGAACTCCAGCCAGAGTTCCAACCAAAGACATTTCATTTCATTATCATTTCAGCAGCAGGTTGTCGGGCCTGTCCAGCCTGAATTAGAACACAGATAGCGTCCCAGCCTGAAGGGATGGAGATAAAGACACTTGTCAAGATGTCAAGATGTCAAGGTGTCAAGATGTCAAGGTGTCGTTCATTTTTGTAAAGCATTTTGAATTGCCTTGTGTTGAAAGGTGCTATATAAATAAACTTGCCTTGCCTTGCCGAGGTATTTTAATTGCCTAAGTGCCTAAACTCCATTCACAAAAATTGAAACTCACAGTTTAAATAAAAACCAAAAGCATAAACAGAACCAGACAAATAGCAATTTCTCTCAAATGCACTCGTATTATCTTTTTGTAATGCGGTTTGCTGTAAATCTTCAGGGAGACTCAGCAGGTTAATGTTATACTGATGGGTACTGAGCTCAAAGGACAGTGAATCTGTCCTGGGATTTTGTCTACAGATTGATAAATGGGTTAACGGTATTTTTCAGCCATGCGTGTGACATTTTTTTAAGTATCATGTAGCAGGCAACTCACAAGAGTTTTAGAGATTAAAAGTGGTGCCTTTGATCTGCTTTCACAAAGCTGAATTGGGCTGATGTGGGTAGATAATCTTTAGGAAGCGTGTCTGGATACTTTCCATTCAGGTTTCCAGATGGTATCGGCCCAGAAGCTGCTGGTATTCACTGACAGAGATGGAAGACAAACAGCTCATTAGTAATATCATTTTTTTCACCTCAAGCATTAACTTTTTTTTTTTTTTTTAAATGATTGACCTCCTCTCTCTTTGTCTAGGAAGAGTTTAAATGCAGTTTGTGCCAGTTCAAATGATTAAAAAGGGTTTAGTCAGTGTTGGAAGGGCAAGCTTTGGGTAATGTATAATGTAGATGACCTATCTCAACTGGAAATAACCAGAAGAGATTGTCTAAAGTGTTGAGCCCTACATTGTGCTCTTGGCCTTTCCTGTCTTAATAGGTAGCTTATCAAACAGAGCCTCATCCGGAGGGCCGAATGTTATATTTCATCTCAACATGTATTTGTTTTAACATTTGTGCAAGAAACTAACATGTAGAAATTAAGAAATCTGAGGCTTAATACGGTTTGGGAAATGTTACAAGAGAAGCATCTTGGAATTTAATGTTAAGTGCCTTTAATGAAAGAAATGTTGTGTTTAGATGTTCTATATTGAATACACAAACCAAAACCTGTATTTAGGATGTTTCATGTACATTCTGCTGTATTTAGGATGTTGCATGTACATTCTGCTGCTGTTGTAAGCTGTATGAGATGTAGAGTAGAGTGTTTGGATCTTGTTAAGAAAATACTGTGGTTGTGGGTAATTTCGAAAAAGGGGGGGGGGGGGGTTCCTTCGTTTGTGATGTGCTAACAATGTTGGTTTTTCAACCAAAAATCACACCTGCTGACCTCACTGATCCTCTCCATCAGTGAGGTCATCTGTGGCAGTTTTGCTAATATGTTACGTGTATATGTTTAAGTTCTCACACAATGTAACAGTGAGCATGCTAATCAGACTTTATGCAATAAAACTATATTTGTAAGGTGGGATTGTTTGTTTTCTCATGTTTACGTTTGTTGAACAAAATCCTACAAATCTCTGCCAAAATCCAATGTTTTTCCAAGTAAATATGTTTAATTTCTCTTACAATTTTTGTTATCTCATTTCTAGTATGTTGTTGCTCCACTGATTTATGGTGTCTTCACATTTTGTTCAATAAAAAGCCTTATTTCTTTCTCTGGTGTGTTAATATCTAAATATCAGCGTCACCTGCATCACCCCACACAGTCACTAGGTGGCAGTAGAACAGCAAAAACAACACCAACACAAATCTATTCTGCTCTTGTGTCACATTGTGTACATCTTAAATAAATGATTTGATGATTCTTTGTACAGCTTTAAATGGTGACAACATATTTCATCATAGGGATCATTTAAGCAGCACACACACATGTGTAAAGGCATGTTTACAGCAACTCTCCAGCCCTGCTTTCTTGCTTTGTTAATGCTGTTCTAGTGGTTTGATTGTGATTTGTATTTCCATTGTAATGCATGCAACATTGAATACAACATTTCAGAATGACTGAATAACATTTCGCCGTGTGTTCTTACCTGAGTGAATGTTAGAAAAAAACACTTATTACTACATTTGGATGTGCTGCTGTTGTTGTATTGTATGTATTGGATTTTAATAAATCCTGTTGGAAATCGTACAGTAAGACATTTCTATGCACTAAGGGGGTTTTATTGATTTGGGTTAATGGTTTCATTTAAACTGCCTACCAGCACCACCAGTTCATATATTTTCAGAACGGATGACCGCACTGGGCCCTATCTACGGTCTCAGTGTGGTCAGTGCACTGAGCTGCAGAGCCACTAGGAATGTAAACCAGAGCAGAGCCAGGATAAATGTGAATGCGGTGCTCTAAGGGCCGGGGAAGTTAATCAGACCTCTTGTCATGGAGTGGTGCTGCAGCAGCGCCCTTAGCACAACTGTGTGTTAATCAATACCTCCTCCCTGCTCCCTCATGACAGCGGATCATGGGCACTAAATTAGCACTGGGAACGCTGGTTGATCAATTGCCACAGACAGTGCAGCTCAAGGGGCAGTAAATCAACGTTTATATGTGGCAGAGGGGTGGTGTTTTTGAGTCTGAATGGGCAATGAAGGGGGAGATAGGTCACTGTCTATCTCCTCTATGAGGGGTGTGAAGACGTTAATCTGTGCCAGGTAGAGAGTTTAACCAGTGGCTGCTGTCGGAGCTGTTTCAGGCTGACTTTTCTTGAGTAGAAATAAATTGTGCAGGAAATCCACTCATCCTCGCTGCTCCACAAAACAACTGTGCTTAAAAAAAAGAGCCAAAACTGGGTTACTGTCTGTTATTGAACTTCAAGGGGCAACGCTTCACTCCCTTGTGACAACTTTTTTTTCTTTTCCCTCCTCTAGGGTTCCTCTGTTACTCCACACTCTTATTTTGATACTTCCTTGCTGTGTAAAAGGAAGATGGTATTTGTGTATGTGTGTGTGTTTCTGTCTATCTGTGTGAATGTTGGTGTAAAGCAGATTAACGAGCACAGATCAAGGTCGATAACATACTGCTACTGGTCAAATACAATACAAGACAGGAGTTTTCCCTGATGCTTAGCCTCATCTTTCACATGCATGATGAGTTCATAGTGATGGTCCTTCACTGCAGCTGCGTTGGACTTTCCTCAAGCTCTTTGAGGTCAAAATATGAGGAGGATTACTATGAGGAAGATATAATGAAACCTGTTGTGTTTCTAGTGAAATTCATCAGCTTTACAAAACCCTTGTGTGTGTGGGTGTGTGTATGAAGTCAACTTGAAGTTAACTAGATGTGATTTTATTGTCATAGCCTACAGTAAAGGTCTGTAAGAAGTTCAGGGCAAAAAAACGAATGGGACTGTCGAACAAGTAAAGTTTTGATATCAAACTAATAAACTAAATCTCCAAAGTAAATATAAGAAGGATACCAGAACCATCTCAATGAGCGTTTAAATATTGTAAGAAATCTAAACATAGAGGTACATGTATGGATGTATCATACAAGCTCACACAGATTTGTATGTATAAACAATATTTGTATGTACAAATACATATACTCCAGTTGTTTGTGATTAATTAATGGAAATATTGTTGCACCTGCAATGCTAATTAGAGATTCCCTCTCTTGTGTTTTCCCAATCTCCAGGCAGAACCGACACACTAGTGGGTTGTTACAGTTCTCTATAGTGAGGAGGTGTAATCAGCGTAGAAATATATGCAAAACAAAGGTACAAAGGTTTGTATTAACATTGCAAAGAACGAGGATGTAAAAAGCATTTGGCCTGAATCCCACTGCTTGTGAATTAATGTAACCTTCATCACATCAGCATGTTCAAAGGTTTTACATGGCAGTCTTTACATTTAATGCATACAGGATTTGTCTGAGCAAGCATATTTGTTTATTTATGGTTTCCATTTCAACCAAATAAAATGCTAATCAGTGTATCTTGAAAACTATTCATATGCAGATAAGAGCTTCAGAGGCTTTGATGCTACAGTGTGCTGCTGCTGCATAACTGCCTTTGTTTAACTAAGACTTTTAGGGAGCTTTCCTTCAGTCTGTGTGTGCACATAACAAGTTTGTCCCTAAATAGAGCTCATCTCGGGCTGGTTATGAGGCCGAAGCTCGTGATATTAGTTGACCTTCCTCCCTAAAATGAACAGCTGTTATACACTAACAGGGATACATTTTACTTTTCATGAAATATGGATGTATATTTATGTTTACATGTATATCACTCATTGCAGCAATTCATTTTCCCTATACAATGGTTTCCATTCTAAAATAAAACTAATCATATCAGGTACATCAGTAAGATGTATTGTAAGCTGCTTTTTAGTAGATCTCATTTATTTTAACCAATGTATTCTATTCATAATGTTTTACTTGTGGCAGATGTTGTTTGACCGTGTCCCTTTTTAGTTGTTGATTTGGATTAATCGTAAATCGTCAAATAGTCCCACGACTGAGCTTGAGGCTGAATGTGTCCGAGTTTGAAATCATGTGCAGATATGAATGAATATGCCTTGACTTCACAGCCCAGGACTGATAGCTTTCCCTTTGATGCCCTCCATGAAAGTGAGAGATCTTGCTTTTTGCTTGATGGAATTAAAAAGCTATCTTTTCTGATTGTGGATGAGGCTAGATGTTGTTGTATCTGCATACATATAAGGAGAGCCTGTCTTGTATCTCTCTGTCTTACATGTTTTCTTTGTATCATAGCATTAAAGACAATATGTTTCCTTGTCTGTGGGTGCAGGACCAAACTGCTTCTTCCATGCTAACCTAATGAGATTGCTCAGAAATTGCTTTCATAAAGTTGGCAGGGAAGTGAATTTGGCCCCGGGGCATGATGAAAGCTTCTGCATGCCATTCACATCCACATCCCTTTCAACATGAGGATTGTGGTGTGTGCCTTTATTCAATTTAAATTACCTTTTGTAAATCGGCATCCTAGTTCAATTCATTTTATTATCTCTCCCCTACAATGTCCCCAAATATAGGCCCTCATTTGCATAATATTGGAAACCTTATTTTGCTTTTATTTTTCTTTAGATGGAAGACACTAACAAACGCTTGCCTTACCTCACTCATACCGTATGTATCCCTTAAATAATGACATCAAAGTGTTTTTTTCTCTCAGTCACAAATATGCTTCTACTCGATGACAAGGATTCATATCGGAGAAAACAACATACTTGTTACTGAGATTATCTTTTGCTTCATTGAGTAAAGATAATCCTCCTTACTTATGATACGCAGGAACATCTAATCTCCCACTCTCAAATGTCCTTTTCTCAACTCATTGTAAACATGGCAGTTATCTGATACTCGTTATCTCTTTTGGCATGGATTGCTTATCCCCACCCACCACATGCAGATGGCTCGTCTGAATGCTCCTTTTACAAACACAGCATGCTGTATATTGTTGCCCATCGCACATTCAGGGTAACAAAAAGAGTAAAAGAAGCAAGGTTCCATGCACTGATCCTTGGGGGACACCTCAAGTAAGACTGTCTAGGATAACAAATGTGTTCAATGTGTTCTGTTGATTTTGCTATAATATTTCTTGATGTCCTACAACCTGGATGGACCAGTAAAAGGTCCTGTATGCTTCAACGGAAGAATGTTAATGGTTGAACACCTTTTGCTTGAACGCTTTTTCAACATGCCACTTTAAGGTGCAAGAAAAGGCGTGTGTTCATGTTTTTAAGTTAGATATGAAGGAGACCTTGTATCATGTAGCAGACTTCTCTCCTGCTCAGTGCAATAGTGAGCTCTGCCTACAATAGAAAGCTGGCATTACTGCTATAAGCTGGATTTGGTCAGCTGTAAATAGATAATGTCACTATATTACATCAAGTTGATGCATTATGAAAGAATATTGTAAATGTTGTGCTTTACAGGGCAGATACGTTTGTTAGTTTGCAACTTACTTTCAGTCGGACTCAACTAGAATGTGCTATCCATGAACCGTGTCAACAGCAGTGCTGTTTCTTTTTGATATTGACTGTGTAACAGTGCCAACAAGGAGAGAGAGAAACAAAGAAGACAACTTCCTTCCCTTTTGAGGTCATCTGAACTTATTTTAGTTGATAGTGGCAGCAAAAGACGTGAAAGTGAGGGAGGACATCGCCGAGACAAATTGCACCACAAAGTGGGTCAACTCTCCTCTGCATGCTCAGAACGGATGCTGACACAACTGCCATTTGACAGCTACTTCAAAATATATATATATATTGTATTCATTCAGACATAATAAACAACAGACACCCATAAGGTGGTATGTGAGTGCTCAGAAAAAACCACTGACTGGTTAACCAGTCAGTAAAAGCGATACAAAAATTAAGGAAGAACGTTGTAACTAAAAATATGTATATGTGTGTGTGTGTGTGTGTGTGTGTGCGTGCGTGCGTGCGTGCGTGTGTGTGTGTGTGTGAGAGAGAGCGTTTCTGTTGCCCGTTGCCATGAACAGTAAAGCTCTGGTTTTGTAACTGCACAATTTGACACCCTGCAATATCCTGAAAGACACAAAGTCCAATTAGCAGAATGAGTTTTTGTTACACAGGATACAAACAAAACCAACGGCTGAATGAACACAGAAAGAAAATCCTCCTCTGTAAAGTGGGTTAATGCATATTGCTCACAGATGTGGAAATGCGTTGAGGT